ATACCAGGGGAAACCTATACAAGTGACGTGTGTTCAGCTGCAATATGGTAGGATACCAAATCTGTCTCAGACAGTTGGGAGCTAACAGGATGACCCTGGCCGCATTCTGTTTGATCTTTAGTACCGTTTGTTGCAGGAGAAGTACAGGTGGAAATGTGTACACCCATGGGAAATCCCAGCAAACTACAAATGCACCCCTAGAGATTGTGGCCCAATGCCTGCCCTGGAACAGTATAGGGGGCACTTGGAGTTGATGTATGTTGCAAACAAGTCCACTACCGGGAACCTCCATCTCCTGCAACGATTGTTTAAGATGGATTTGTTGATATCCCATTCGTAGTTCTGTGGGAATTGTCTGCTGAGAGCATCCGCTAGGTCATTGTCCTTGCCCAGGAGATGCATTGTGGTAGAATTCACGTTGTGTACAATACACCATTGCCATACTCTCATTGCTTCTGCACATGGGCGCAAGATCTCGCGCCCCTGTCTATGTAATATATCCTTGCGACATTGCCTGACAATATCCTTACAGTTTCGTTGCATATACGAAAGAGTAGTTGCGAGCATGCCCTCCTCACTGCTCTGAGCTCCCATATATTGATGTGAAGCTAGGACTCTTTGCGTGTCCATTGTCACTGTAGCACCACACTCCCCATATGGGCTCCCCATCCCAGGAGGGACGCATCCTTCGTGATGGTAATGGATGGCATTGGTGTCTGAAATGTAAGTCTTATGCAGACGTCATTTCTGTCCGTCCACCAGTTTAGGGTGGCTTTGAATCAATTGGGTACATGGAGTGTCTTCTGAAGCAAATGGTGTCTGGGGGTGATACACGGAGCGTACACATGCCTGGAACATCCTCATACGTAGTCTGGTGTTTGGGACTACAAACGTGGACGCAGCCATGTATCCGAGTAGCTGCAGGTATGTGCGTGCCATTGTGTGTGGGCAGCTCCGTACTGACATGATCAGATCGTGTATTCGTGACCATCTGTGGGTGGGGGGTGGGCAGTGAGCTATACCTTGGGTGCAGTCCAGCTGTGCTCCTATAAACTCCAGTGTCTGGATAGGAATGAGGGTGCATTTATCCAAGTTCAGTAGGAGTCGAAGCAGGTCGAATAGCACACTTGTTGTCTCCAATGATTACTCCGTGACCCCATAGATGGATGCCATGATCAAGCAATCATCGAGATAAGGAAATATTTTTTTTTTCAAAGATGTACAGCTACCACGGAGAGGACTTTGGAGAAGACTCTCCTGTGCTGCGGAAATGCCGAACTGGACACCCAGTACTGATAGTGAGAGTCCTTGATGGTAAACCTGAGGCTTTGTCTGTGTGCCGGATGGATTGATATGTGAAAATATGTGTCCGTGAGGTCGAGGGTAGATAGCCATGTATAGGCTAGCTATCTCCTCTATAGCGCATAGTTTTAGGAGGTGCTGCGCTTCTTCCAGGAGAACCAACTTGTGAAGAGGGTCCCTGTAGAAGGATAGGGAAGGGGGGCGGGTTGGGGGAACTGCTGTGAATGGTATGCAGTATCCAGTTCATATTAGGTCTATGACCCATTGGTCCAAGGTGATGGTTTCCCATGCCACGTAAAATTCACAGAGTCTGTTTCTGAATATCTGCTTCCTTGGTTCTGCCTCCCCTGGAGGAATGGGGGCTGCTGTACCCTCGACCAACACTTCAAATTTGCTGACACGAGGTGGATGCTTGGGACGATGATGGATGCTCGTTTGGTTGTCTTCATCGGGTTTGTCTCGTAGGGCCTTTGCTGTTGTATATACACTAGTGTGCTGAACCTTTGATTATATTGTTTGTATTGTTTTCTCTTGGTTCCAGGAAGCTGAATTCCCAGTGTGCGTAGTGTCACCCTAGAGTCTTTGAGAGTGTGGAGAGAGAAGTTTGTTGCCTCCACAAAGGGTTTCTCTCCCTGGAATGGAAGGTCTTCAATGTTCGATTGAACCTCCCAGGGGAACCCTGACAGTTACAGCCATGACCCTCTCCTCATCACCCCTGTGGATGGCATGGACCTGGCTGCTGTATCCGCTGCATCCAATGCAGCTTGTAACACTGTGCAGGAAATCAATGAACCTTCCATCATGTTTGATTCTGTTTCTTTATATCTTCTGGTATGTACTGAATAAAGGAGTTGGAGGATTCAAACATCTGGTGTGAGTATTTTGCTAGCAGGGCTACGTATTAGCAATAATCAGTTGGAGGGAAGCTGATGAATAGAACTTCTTCCCCATAGCATCCATTCTTTTTCTCTCTCTCTCATGATTTGGTGTTCTGGGGTACTGGTGTTGCCTCCCCCTCTGACTGGCTACTTCGACTACCAGTGAATTTGGGGAAGGGTGGGAGAAGAGGAATTCCACCCCCATAAAGTGCTACGTAGTACTTCTTATCCACTTTCTTTGAAGTTGAGAGCACCGATGCCGGGATCTTCCAAATGGACTTGGCTAGATACATCAGTTTCATTCATCGGTACACCCAGTTTGGTACGTTGAGTATACTTGTGAGTTTTTGATTTGGTCACATCAGCGAGTTGTATGTTAAGAGCCAGATCTTTTCCAATCCCTGCTAGGCTCTTCCTACAGTTCAAAAGTGGAAGACATGTCGGGCCAGTGGGGGACTCGCCCTGAACTCCCAGCAGCGCCTGAACTTTTGAAATGTACAAGAGCCCGAGTAGAGCTCTATACATTTCAAAAGGAAGCCCAGCAGGTAGCACAGGAGTCCTCCACTGGCCCCGCGCTCCCTGCAATGCCTGAGCCTTTTAAATGTACATGCACCCCAGTGGGGTGCATATACATTTCAAAAGGAAGCCCTTCTGGCCCTGCACTCCCTGTAGGGCTTTTGCATTTCTGCTGGGGCTCTTTTACATTTCAAAGCAGGATTGCAGCAGAAGTGGCACAAGCAGAGACTGATTAAGTCCCTGCTCATGCCATAGAATCATAGAACACTAGAACTGGAAGAGACCTCAAGAGTTCATCGAGTCTAGTCCTCTGCCCTCATGGCAGGATCCAGTACTGTCTAGAGCATCTCTGATAGACATTTATCTAACCTGCTCTTAAATGTCTCCTGAGATGGAGATTCCATAACCTCCCTAGGCAACTTATTCCAGTGTTTAACCACTCTGACAGTTAGGAAGCTTTTCCTAATGTCCAATCTAAAACTCCCTTGCTGCAGTTTTATCCTCAGAGGCCAAGAACAACAATTTTTCTCCCTCCTCCTTGTGACACCCTTTTAGATACCTGAAAACCACTATCATGTCCCCGCTCAGTCTTCTCTTTTTCAAACTAAACAAGCCCAATTCTTTCAGTCTTCCTTCATAGCTCATGTTCTCTAAACCTTTAATCATTCTTGTTGCTCTTCTCTGGACCTTCTCCAATTTCTCCACATCTTTCTTGAAATGTGGTACCCAGATCTGGGCACAATACTCCAACTGAGGCCTAATCAGCACACAGCAGAGCGGAAGAATGACTTCTTAAGTCTTGCTCACAACAGTCCTATTAAAAGCATCCCACAATCATGTTTGTTTTTTTGCAACAGTGTCACACTGCTGACTCATATTTAGCTTGTAGTCCACTATGACCCCTAGATCCCTTTCTGCTGAACTCCTTCCTAGACAGTCGCTGCCCATTCTGTACGTGTAACACCGATTGTTCCTTCCTAAGTGGAGTACTTTGCATTTGTCCTTATTAAACTTCATCCTTTTTACCTCGGACCATTTTTCCAGTTTGTCCAGATCATTTTGAATTATGACCCTATCCTCCAAAGTAGTTGCAACCCCTCCCAGCTTGGTATCAGCTGCGAACTTAATCAGCGTACTCTCTTAAGCAGCGTACTCTCTGGAGGACATCTAGCATAGGCCCACTGTGTGTCTACCTCCCCTGCTCCCCGCAGAGAAGGTGCTGGGAGGAACCGGCTTTTAAGCCAGCACCCCCTAGGACTGGTTTCTGCTTCCCCCCTTGATGCATCTCTCTGATAGAGACAGCAAGGGAAGGAAGCGACTAGTCATATGACTAGTCGACTATCCAATAAGCTTATGCTTATTGGATACGTGATTAGTCGCTTATATCCTTAATACCACTAAAACTTTTGTGCTGGTCCATAATCAGAAGAGTGTTCTGCCTTTTCCTGCCATGCCTTTTTCTCTAGGGAAAACGTAGAGCAGATGCTAGAGATACCTCTACGTGACCTGTGGATTTCCTGTCAGGCTGGATAAAAGGTTGAGACTCTCTCCTGATGGCTTCTAGACAAGAAATGCTCTTAAATTAAAAACATACCTGTTTTTAACAGTCCTACTGAATTAAGGAAGACCAAGAAACAAGAAAAAGTTATTTACTGGTTTCCATAACATAAGAACTAGAGATCACCAAATGAAATTAATAGGCAGCAGGTTTAAAACAAACAAAATCAAGTACTTCTTCATACAACAATCAACCTGTGCAACTTCTTGCCACAGGATGTTATGAAGGCCAGGACTTTAACAGGGTACAAAAAAGAACTAGATAAATTTATGAAGGATAGGTCCACCAATGACTATTAGCCAGGATCGGTAGGAATGGTGTCCCTAGCTTCTTTTTGTCAGAGGCTGGGAATGGGTAATGGCGGGCAGGAGGGAGAATCGCTTGATGATTACCTGTTCATTCCTTCTGGGGGGCATGTAACATTGGCCACTGTCTGAAGACAAGGTACTGGGCTAGATCGACCTTTGGTCTGACCTAGTATGGCCATTCTAATGTTCTAAAAAACTGGTACAATATATTTATACCATATAACTGAGAAAACTGATTTCATTGGGTTAGAGATGTTGAATTAAATACAAAACAAATGAACACCTTTTAATTTATGTAAAAAATATTTGTTACTTAAATAATAAACTGCATAAATTGTTGTTTAAATTACACAACTTGAAGAAAAATCAAATAAACCATATCAAAATATTTTGTCCTTTCCTTTATGATAAAGGAACAAACACAGTTAGTTAACATACCGTAATCTTCCATCCTGAGCAGCTGCACCTCCTGTTATGATTTTTGTAATGAAAATACTTGAGTCGTCCCCAATATGTGGGTTGTCCGTACCACCTGCAATGCTAAAGCCAAGCCCTGAATTTCCCTGAAAAATAAACAGCATTGATGTGTAAAGTATTCTTTTAAAAATAAGTAGAATAAAAGCAAACCAGGAGAGAATATCTTATGCTTTCTTAAATAGATGTAAATTGCATTATTAGTAGAATGCTAAGAATATATTATGCACTACAGAATAACATTCATTTTTATTATTTCAGAAAAAAAATTATGAGACGCTGACGTGCCTTTCACAACCAACAGAGAACCAATTTATATTGTGGTGTAAACTCAAATTTATTTATCACTGAAAGAAAATATTGTGTTAATGTTCATTTTTGCAATAATTATTCAATTATAACAACTGTGATTTCCTGCTTTGAGACAGAAGAATCCATCAGTTGAAAAACTGCTCTAAACACTCTCACAGACTTCAGGAACTATAATGTCTGATTCTGTGAAACACCTGATATTTTGTTGAAATGCTACAAATTAAAAACTCTGTTATCCAATAAACTCTTCAGAAATCAAATGTTTATTGTTTTCACCATTAATATACTTCTTTCCTTTTTTATAGTTTCAAAGGGGAAAAATGTGTACGTGAAAAGCATAAAATATTATGAATATTAGCTAAATCAAAGTAGATATAATTTACGTATGATCTAAATTTACTCTATTTGATTTAAAGTATCAACACACTGCTGAGATGCCTGTATTGTTGTACTAAACTTTCTGTGGTTTACACTGCAAAATACTGTGCTATAAAGCTACTCTATTAGAAGACTTTCCCCTCTTACTTCTGTCTAAGTCAGTGTTTCCCAATTGTATTTGGCCAAGGAACCCTTTTCAGCTTTTTAGAATTTCAAGGAATCCCTAGGTTTGTCAAGCAAAAAAAAAAAAACGTGTAGGGGGAAGGGACCCACCAATTCATGAAAATCCCAACAAATGCATTAAAATCACATTCCTTCCCCAAGACCCCCCACCCCCCTTCCTTGAGGCCTCATCCACTCTGTTCCCCTCCTCTCCATCACTTGCTATCCCCAGCCCTTATACACTCTAACTAAGTTGAGACAGGAGGTCTAGGGTGGGAATGAGGGATTTGGGTGTGGGAAGGGATGAGAAGTACAAGTTCTGGGAGGGAATTTGAATGCAAGAGAAGGGGATGTTAGCTCGGGGTGGGGGCTCCAGGCTTGGGAGTGTTGGGCTCAGGTGGAAGGTTGGGGTGCTGAGCACGCCATGGCCTTGTGGATGTGTGGGTGCTGGAGTTTGGGCTGGATATGTGAGGGACTCAGGGCAAGAAGGTTGTGAGTATGACGGGCTCAGGACACAGACTTGCCATGTGTGGATGGTCCAGGAGTGTGGTGGCAGAAGACTGAGGATGTGGGGATGCAGGAGTTTGGGGATGTAAGAGGCTGAGGACAGGGAGTTCCAGTGTATGATAGGCTCAGATTTGGGGTCAGGTAGTGCAGGAGTGTTATGATGCTGCAGTGAGATGGGGGTTTGGCCCCAATTGGCGGCTTGTTGGCCAGGCTTCATTTTTAAATAAAATATGTCAAACACAAAACGTTTTAGCATTGTCTCTATTTATGAGAGGGGTGAGGAACCTGGTTTGAGTCAAGGGTCACTGACCTACAGAAAAGTGTGTTGGGGGCCACACAAGTGAGATGCAAAAAAACCCCGACAACCCTCCAAAGACCCCCAAGCCTCACTAATGTGGTCCCAAATGTGCTCGTGGGAGCAGGGGAGAGGGTGCTGCTGAGTGGAAGGATGCTGGCTCAGGTGGCGGGGTGCTGGGGTCAGGGACATGGTCCTGCTGGGCACTAGGGTGACTAGCAGGGTGCTGAGACAAGGAACAGGGTGCTGCTGGGTGCCAGCGTGGATAGCAGTGTGCTGGGGCCAGGGCCAGGGTGGTGCTGAGTCCTGGGGTGTGAGACAGGGTGTTGGGGCCAGGGACTGGGTGGTGCTAGGGTGGATGGCAGGGCTGCTAAGGACTGGGGTCAGGGACATGGTCCTGCTGGGCACTAGGGTGACTGGCAGGGTGCTGGGACAAGGAACAGGGTGCTGCTGGGTGCTAGTATGGATGGCAGGGTGCTGGGCCTGGGGCCAGGTCCAGGGCCAGGGTGGTGCTGAGTCCTGGGGTGTGAGGCAAGGTGCTGAGGCCAGGGCAGTGCTAGGGTGGATGGCAGGGCTGCCAAGGAGCAGGATAGGGATGGGGTGCAGGATCTGGGAGGGAGCTGGGGGGCAGAAGGGGACAAGGTCTGGGTAGGGTGCAGACTAGATAGGTAGGGTGCAGAAGCAGGCTGGATGTAGGGTGTCTGGCTATGAGGGAGGGTGCGAGTAGGGGACTTGGGTAGGAGTTGGACCTCCCTCATCTGGCACCCTCTAGACCTGACTGGTCCCAGATGAGGAATTTTTGGACCGGGGAGGTCATTTCAGGGCTCCTTCCCCACTAGGCTTCTTTGCGCCTCTATCCCCTGCAACCTAACTAAGCTTCCCCCTCCTGCTGGTTCCCTGCACTTCCCCAAAACCATCCCCCACAATCCAAGCGAGTGCAGCACCAGTTCCCTGCAGCCCCTCACAGCCCAGCTGAGCTGCCCGTCTATTCCGTATGCCCTCCCCCATCCACCTCAGCCCAGCTGAGCCCTGCACTGGTTCCCTGCATGCCTCCCCCCACTGGACTGCTAAGCCCATTTCCCTGCACCTCCCCCAAGCCCCACAAAACTGCTGAGCCAAGCACCAATTCCCTGTCCCCCCCTTGAGTCTAGCCCCAGCACCTCCCTCTTCCTGCAGCCAAACTGAGCTCTGAGCTCCACACACACACACACACGCACTCACACCCCGCAGTCCCTCCACCCTCCCCCAAACCATGCAGACCTGCTGAGCCAGCACTGATTCCCTGTGATCTTGCGCCAAAGTGGCCGCTCTTGCGCAAAAACTTGCTTTTCCTGTCTACACTGGCCATGTGTTCTTGTGCAAGTACGCTGACATTCTCATGTATGAAATCAGGACATCTTGTGCAAGAAGAAGAAGTTACTCACCCTGTGAAGTAACGATTGTTCTTCGAGATGTGCCCCGTGGGTGCTCCACTCCAGGTGTCGGGTCCCATCCCGGCGCCGCGAATCGGAGAGCTATCAGAGCCGTGGTCCGCCGGATCGCGCATGCATGGCTGCCCGAGGCGGCGTTCGCGCCTTTGAAGTGTTGTGCGCAGTCCAGCTTGCTCAGTTCCTCTCAACCGCCCTCAGTCGTGGATGAGAGCTCCTGCTTGTCAGTTTCATTTCGCAATGGCTTTTTCAAAGAAGCCTTCACATTTGTAAATAGTTCAGAGCCTGATTAGTTATTTAGTTCTTGTTGGTTTCTAGTTAAAAAAAAAGAAAAAAGAAGAGAAAACAGAAGAAGAAAGAAGGAAAGTTTTCCTCAGACTAAAGAGGGGAAACGGACTGGATCTCACAGCCAGTAAGGAGATAAGCGGAGGAGAGACTACTCAAATTCTCCCTCCTCCTTAATCCACTATGATGGGATCCCCCGGTTTTAAAAAATGCTCCGTCTGCCGGGACCCTATGCCGGTATCAGACGCTCATGATTCTTGTGTGAGGTGCTTGGGTGAGATGCATGTCCCCCAGAAATGCACTCACTGCAGCAAGTTAACGGCAAGGGCTCGTAAGGACTGAGATTTGCGCCTCAAGCTCATTCTTTATGGCAAGGCGCTGGAGTCTGATGCTGTACCTGCCTCTGGCATAGCAGCTCAGAAACGGCGGGGGGGGGCGGCCC